GAATGTGATTCATTGATATGCACCTATGAACGATGGAGGTGAATGTGAGAGAAACCAGTTTTATGGGAGACTGTAGTTAATCCTGTAGAAATACCCAAGTAAATACCTAGTCATTCGGATGGACGACCCGAACACTAACTGATATGACGGGATGAAAAGTTAAAATTAGATTGATTTACTCATCATGATTTTTGTTCAACATTACTTCCATTTTAATTCAATCTGATGATTACTCAATGTAGTATTTGTTTCTGTTTTCCCGTGTGATATTTTATTCTGTATAACATACGATATTCTTGTATTAAATTAACATAAAGTATGGTCAACATGTCATGTAACATATGATTTGTTAAAACTAAGTATTTTTCATGTGATTTTATCCTAACTATTAATCGAAATGAGTGTATTTTCGACTAGGGTCGTCGTCGTGTTTTGGGGTTAATAAGTCTTCACTTGTATCAGTCTTTGTGTTCTTAATTTCTCATCGTGAGAATCGCAGTGGTTCCTCGCTTTATAAGTATGCGTGATAAGCGATTCCGACATAACACTCAGCGACGACCAGATATAATAATTGGTAACGCAGTCATAGCAGTCGATCACCTGTCATAACGTTAACATCTGGATGAGTAGCACTATATATAAGTGCGTCATAGGGTGACATGAACTGGAGAAATGAACGAGAATGATGAGAGGCCGATAGATCTATGCACTTTCAACAACATGGTTTTGTGTATTACCATTTTCCCCACAATTGCACACACTAAGGTACACGGGTTTCACCAAACCACATGGAAGTCAATCCTATCGATTAGATATGGACAAGTAAAATATTCAGAAGGATCATGGAAGACGTAGGGAGAAAGAGAGAAGGTGGTGTAATTTCAGACCAACACCTGGTTGTGGTCAATCCAAGATTGAAAATGGAGAAGTGTTGAATATTTGAATAAACAGTAGTATAAAGGTTTAGTACAGCCTTCCTTTGAGATGCTAAGAACTCAGCAAATCTAAGGTAGATCTCAACAACTAGGTTCAAGATCAATATGATCTACTAGAAGAAAACACCATTATGAAAATCAAAGAGCTAATAACTTCAGATTATCATCAGCTGGTTGCTAGCTTAAATGTTTTTAGTATTAGTGAAATATTATTGAAATGTTATGTACACTTTGTCTGACTTACACTAATTCAAACTGTTTCATTTGAGTATAATGGTGAGTTTCGCTGTCATAATTGCTGATACGAATAAGCGTGGGGGATTATACGGTAGATAAGTGCGACCAGTCAAGATCAAGAAAGGCAAACCAATCACTGAGGTTTGGGAGTAGCGGATAGGCTGATAGAGTACTTTGATGAAGTTTTGAATAAACCAGCACTATTGAACCTACCAGACATCGAAATAGCACAAAGTGACCTGCTTATAGTTGTTAACCCACCCGGCCCAGCCATGAACACCGTCGTTCAGTAACCAGAGGAAAACAGTTCGATAAAAGACGTTCGGTGCTGTAAGATAAAGAATTTGAACTGCTTCAATATGTCTGTGACATTGATAGTATGACAGTCGTGCTCTCTGTAGCTTAATAATTCAAAAAACGATAATAGCTTATAACTTCCTTGTAATAACCTGGAAGATGCTTATAATGGTTCAGAAGATATGCAGAAGAGACACTATAGAAAGAAATGTAAGTAAGAATAAAACTGATGGCACTTGAACGGTACATTTTCCAACTGGTACAGACACTTGATAAAGCCCAATCATCACAATTGGAAAAAAATAGTCCTATGAGTCAAGGAACAGTATTCTACCCAAAAAAAAGAGTAAGTTAATGCAGTTCGCTACCAAGATGGGCAATCAGCTACAAAATAATAATTATATGAGAATCACAATTAACTGCCATTTATTAATATTAAATATCCCTAAAACAAGCAGGGAACGTGCCTCAAAATCAACCAAATAGAACAGAAGGAATAAGTTCACAAAGTATCAACCAATGTATAGCAGTCCAAATGGCGACTTCTATAAAAGTATGTTAAGCAAAACAAAAATAAGACAGTTATTAAAAGACTCAACAACATCAAGGATTTAACTAGAATTCAGAATTTGTGAACAATATGGTAGTAATAATTGGAATGAACGTGAACGAAGGATTCGATAAACGCTCAGCTTTGAGATCAGCAAGATGGTTATCGCAAGGATCAGTCGTCTACTAACCATATCGTGACACTGACGATCATTGTTAAACAATCAGTTGAATGGAACTCATTCCTGTACACCAACTTTCTTGATGGTGAGGAAGCACTCAACAGAGTGAACGAGAAAGCCCTGCGGAACCCTATTCGGCATCATGGAGTGTCTGTAAAGATTGTCACCATCATACGGAACTCTGAAGACGAACTGAATCGCAAAGTGTTGGATGGCGCACAGATCACATGTGTGTTTCAAGTGAGGAATGGTGTCAGACAGCATTGTCTACTTTCTCCTTTCCACATCGTTCTGGTTGCTGACTGGATGATGAAGAGTTCAACATCTCGAGAGAAACGAGGAATACGGTGGACAATTTGAACTCCACTAGACTATTTATAGTCTACAAATGAATTGGACCTCCTACCGTATACACAGAAACCAGTTCAGACGTCGATAGTTCGAGTGGGTGGGGACTCCATAAAAGTGAATCCCATGATCACAAGGGAAGCAGCAAGATCTAGAAATGCGCCACAATGAGCATCTACCGAATCATACTTGACGGTGTGTCCAGGTAGTGCCGGAAGCTTTTTTTATCTGAGAAGTATCAATGATATACACGGCAATGCCATGCTAGTGATTCAGAGGTTCGAACACGATGATAATAATTCAGTCATTGTAACCATCTTGGAACACCAAATTCAGTGGCTTGGACATGTGCTACAAATGTTTTCGCGGCGAATTCTACATAGTGCATTATTTATCGACAAATAATGTGTGGGTTTGGGAGTCGATAGAAGATATCAAGACCACAAATAGAACTTGATAACAGATCGATGAAGAATCAGGATAGAACCGATCAAAAATCATTGGTAAGCGATCTGTGCCACGAAAAATGGTATCTAGGGAACTTTTCCAATTTCATTACGTTTTTATAATTTGACTGATTTTAATCAAGCAGCCACTGAAAATCGAAGAGTACTGGACAGCCGTTTCATCCAGGTAAGAGAATTCTCACCAGACATCATCTTTCAACCAACCTGCAATCGAAACCAGGACCTTTATGTCGCATGGTAAGCCCATAAACTTTAAATTAATTATATCCAGTAATTTCTGTGTTTTGTTTAAATTAATTTGAGGTAGTATTCAATGATTTCACTATGTAAATGATAAAGAGCTATCTCACACAGCAAATTATAGTGAATTGATTGTAGTTGAACTAGTGAATGTTGACTCAGTGGTTTGAAGATTACAGTTTTATCGTGAGGCCTGAAGGTCCAGATTTCGAGCCCTTGTGAGATTATGGGTGCTCACTGCATAGGATTCTCATACTATTGTAAAAAGGCTGTTCTATGCTCTCCAATTTTTAATGTTTGTTAAACTGAGACCAACCCTTGATGTAAAAATGGTTGGATAAATGAAAGTAATAAGAGGATAACTCTTTGAAAACCTATATCATGTGAAATGTTCACTAATTCACCTTGTACAGAAAACTATTTACATAGTTTGGTGAATAATAAAATCGTGAAAACAAGTCTTATCTCACTTTATTATTATTATTTATTTCATTCATCATGGATACTTCATATGTAATCTGAAGATTTTGGAGTTAAATAATCATTCTAGTAAGTTTCTTTCATATTCAACTCAAAAATTATATTGTTGTATAATTATCATAATTTTCTTAGATGAATTGGGAGAATTACAAAACCGGTTGTTTTATTCCTTGAAGTCTAATATTGATAATTATACTATTCGTCTGACCATGTCACTAAATAATTCATACAATTCAACATTAAAGTCACATACTAGTAGTGTAGTTTATATTAGAATTTTGAAAAAAAGTTTGGATTACATTCAAGAATACAAAATCATTTGATTAGCAGTTGTTGTTTTTTTCAAAACTCGGAAAAAATAAACGAAAACTATACACTAATCATGTATTCTTTTTCTTCATTGTTCAGTGAAATGAGAGAAACATAAATGTACGGAAATAATTCTGTTTCAGACATTTATCTTTTGCCCATTTCTGTTCTGTTTCTAGTAAGTTTTTGTCACAAAAAATGCACTCATTTATTTGAATACATCTAACTAGGAACCGATATTAAATCGGTACAAAATGTCGATAATGTATTTGGTGGTAGAAGCCTAAGGGGAAAAAGTTGAATGCATTGGTTAGACCGTAATATAAAGAATGTGAGGTTAGTAGGCAATAACTGTACAAAAAAATATTTATGTACTTGAGCATTATCACATCTGTATTGTTCTGTTCTAATGTTCTATCCAATATTGAAGGTTACTGAAAAAAAAAAGACAAAACACATCATAAATTTGGAGGGGAAGAATTAAAGGAGTGATAAGCTGAATAAGAAGTAAATTACAGAAAATATTAAAGAATACGTCTTTTTTCTATTCTCCAGCCCACGGTTTTCATAAGTTTGCGAAATATGTAATGATCGAAAGAGAAATAAAGAACGAATGGAATCTGTTTCATCTCTTCATACTTAATATTTAAATACTTGGAAAGGAAGAATAACACAAACACAAGTCAGTTAAAGTCAAACCTCTTGAAATTACATCATGCAGTCAGTAACTGGGACAAAAGTTCTATGTTATGAAATGAAGTTAATTTTTTAATTTAAAATTTTAAGAATTTTTGAAAATTATTTGGGAAATGAACGACATGATCAGTGTTAAACTAAAACCAAAGTATTAAATTAAAGAAGTCAAGACAAATAAATCAATCACAACTTGTACATTCTCTAGATTGTCATAGAAAAAGAAAAGTTAAAAAATAACCAGGTTATTGATCAAAACCATTGGCACGTTGAACATGATTTATGATTGACAATATTTATAACGATGATTGATATGTTGAGAATATGATCCGGAATGACTAAAACGTTTACCGCATTTTTGACATTCAAATGGTTTTTCACCAGTATGCAAACGTTTATGTTCTGTTAGATGGTGTTTATGCTTGAAAGCTTTGGAACATATACGACAAATAAATGGCCGAAGACCTGAATTGTTATATATAAAGTGAAAAACAGTTAAAAGATAGATGATTAATCCATTATATTATATAATTATTATTATTAAGTACGAATAAAGCTTTTAAACTCCGTACATATTTGATTATTATCTAATGGGGAATACTAACATCATAAGCTTATGTCTAGTACTTGACAACTTTTAGAAGTGGTAGCCGAGGTTTATGGGCTAGCTATTATAACATTTAACCAAAATCCCTTACGTTGACAGAGCCTCACCCCGCCTATAATCAGTTTTATTTTAATAGTGATCGTCATTCATGTATGATCAAAATAAAACTTTTACCGTATGTAACGATAATTAGATTTTAATTTTGATTTCGGCGCTCGGAAAATAGTTGACTTGGTTGCCACTATGACCATCTGATATTATGATGAAGTACCTATGGAAGTTATTATTGACGAAAATTGGGTACTGCAAATATATTACATCTAATTTCTCCATCTTATCTTGCATTTTAGATCGTTCCCTTATTAAAATATATTTATCCGTTTGTTTGTTTTTTTTCCTTTCAGTATGAAATTTTTCGGTTGAACAGTGAGTTTAGGTAGAAAAAGAAAATTAATGACAGTTGAACAAAAAGCAGTCATATAAATCATTTGTCAGGTTGTTTGTCTAAAGGTTTTGAAAATAAAGTCTTAATTCATATAAAACATAAGAGCAAAATTTCCCACTGGTTAAGCAACTTTTAAAAATCATCGCGTTAAAAGTTATGCCTATACACCCTTTCACTTTTTTTATACAAACATACACATAGACTTTGAAGTTATTAAACAAGAAAACAGCTTATTGTAGCAATCAGATTTCGGAGATATTTTTTTTGTTACTAGTTAGACTAAAAATAAATTAATACGTTTCCTTTCTTCCATAGAGCAATGTGACAACATCATTTGAGATGCTTTAATGTATCCTCCATTTTACAAAATATAAGCTCTAGTCAAACAGAAGATTAGTGTCTGAAACAAAAAAAAGGATTGCTAAGATTGCGCCTAAAATTAATGAAACTGGTTTTATAACTCACAGATTGTCGTTACTCATTAGTAATATAACCAATATTTGAATAGCTTGAAGTGTTTTTTCAAGCTGATAAAAAAGTGGTTCATTGAGGATTGAAAAATTGCATCGTGTAGAATATAAATATATACCTTTTTCAATCACTTTACTCAACTCATTTTAGTTTCTGTGTGATAATTTTCTTAATCTTGTCATTCGTATGTCTCTGATAAATCAAGTGTACCAAACACAACTATTCATTTTTGTGTAAATTTACTTTTGCCAAATATCAATGGTAAACGAAGACTATAAAATAAAATAATATGGGCTCTATTCTGAATATTCTGGAAGCATTATTTATGCATAGATTGATGGAGAATCCTTATGGGCGGCATAGGCTCCTCCACGCGGGCTAACAGGTGTAGGTAATAATTTATGCTTAGCTATATAAAATAAATAGAGCAAGAACAAACATTGATGCAGAATAGTATGAATTCGTATTATTTCGAGGTTTCTCGTCAGCTGCTTACAAACCAGAATTGTGATAGAATTTTTACATGGAGATAGTGTGAAACAATTGACATAAATGAGTGTAAATAACTTGATTACAATAATAACTATATATATATGCTAGAAACAGGTCAGAGGTCAAAAGAAGGGGGTTAATCCAGGGTGGGTGGTGTAATAATTTAGTGAAGTTCATAAATTGTGTGATAATTGTAGAGATTAATGGAATCAAATAATGATAAGGTAGATTACGTCTGTCCTGTTTCTAGCATATATATATATATATGGTTATTATTGTAATCAAGTTATTTACACTCATTTATGTCAATTGTTTCACACTATCTCCATGTAAAAATTCTATCACAATTCTGGTCTGTAAGCAGCTGACGAGAAACCTCGAAATAATACGAATTCATACTATTCTGCATCAATGTTTGTTCTTGCTCTATTTAAATTCATAAAGGGAACCAATTGCATGAAATATAAAATAAAATTTATGATAAGTTTAAAAAAGGAATGTAAAACACTCATTGGAACTGTTCCTCTTCAGAACTCATTGACTGTCTTTACTGTCTGAGAACTTAAGACACTTACATCCTACTAACCACATGCCACTGCTTGAGAAGTGAATCACTAAAAAACACTTAACATCTAACTTGACTCATGAACAGTATAGTGCAACAATTATCTGATGAAATCACAGAATAACCATCTTAGTTCTGAAGTGAATATCAGATCTCAAAGATGATAGTCTAGACATGCCATGAATGCATTTGTATTTGAATTTCAATCCACCAACTGAACGATAGTGTATGTCTTCCTCGAGATAATTTAAATCATGGAAAATAATATATAATTTCTGCTTAGAATGAAACGTCTGTTCCCTGATTTTTAGTCACCTATAACACAAGATATCATTCGATGATAGAAGCTATATTCAACTGTTAACTGTGTTCAAGAAATGCCAAAGCACTTTACTAAATCATATTCGTACAACGTGAAGAATTCGTTGAATGTTCATCAAAGAAGTTACTTTCATACTTAATTCCAAGTGTATCAGTATTAAATATGACAACTGTCTTTTTTCCAGTTTTAAGATTCTGAAATTCTGATGCCTTCATTGTGATGTTAAATGTTTGTAGATTACAATATACACGTTTTCAAGTTACACAATAATATACATTCGTGTTTCATTTGATAATCTAGTGGTTGAGCATTCGCGATAGAACTAATAGGTTCAGAGTTCGAATCACGCTGGCGGGATCGTAGATGCGCACTTCTGAGTTCCACACTAGGACGAAACGGCCGTCCAGTGCTTCCAGGTTATCCATGGTGGTCTTGCTTTAATTGGCTTATGAATTCAACTATTAAATTACTAAAATCTCCACAAAACCGCCTTCTGATAATAATCTTAAATACACAAATTTGTACAACAATAATAAACACACTAATTTACATTTGAGTTTATTTATAAACTTATTTTAACAAGGAAATTATCACAATAAACCTAAAAATAAATGTTTGGTATCAAAAATAAACTGATTTTAAAAATGGTTTATCCAAATTGTTTCAGATTAATTACAAAGTGTATTCTGATTATCAACGTATACTACTTATTATAGTTACATTTCTCAATTACTTGGTTCTTTTTTCTACGTTAATTATCTGTTTAAGTTAACAAATACTATCAAGTTATCAACCCAAGAGTGAATATGTATAATTATTAATTCATTCTATGTGAATGGTTAACGTTTTCAGAATAAACTTCATTATTTACTAATGTTAGTTTAGTAAAAGCTTTTATACGAAAATAGTTTAAAAATACCTTTTTGCATACACTTAATAATGTTCCTGGAATATACGAAACATCATTGCTCTTCATAGTATTCATATGGAAAGCATTTATACTACTAAATTACTAATGTGCTCGTGTTATTACATTTAATGTTTTGTTGAAATGAATCAATTCTACTGAACACTCATAGTTATATCATACTGATTTGAATTACGATAGAAAAAAAATGTCCACTGTTATATCCGAGCGAAAAATAAATCACGAGTAACTCCTGAGACATATTAATTGACTAATATTATCTATACCTTCTTATGGTACAACTATTCAATAATTAGATTATGTATACTTATATTCCTCTTATTATAAGTTTTATTTTGACCTATAATTTATTGTTGTACGAATTACGGTTCTTAAGCTATGTTCAGGTTATTGACTACTGCCTCCCACGTTCACAGCCACATTTGGCCAAATATTGCACAAATGTTATTTCCTATTTTAATGTACGCTGTGGTCTGTCTGGTTGATATATAAACCGAGTATGTTTGACATAAATGCTTCATATTCCGGAAGCTGATGTTTGTGTTCTGGACTCAAGTGAACGGGCTAGGCAAACATAGGACCAAATAAGACGCTAGGCTGCTCATACTGGTCGAACGTCATTGGTTTTGTCATAGTGCGAAGATTGTACAAGTCGTATTTTGATTGGTGGATAAATCACGTGATAAAAAGCCGGACATAAAGTCATAACATCCACAAAAACTATACTGACAATTGTTATAGTGACAATGTTTTAGAGGCGAAAACAAAAGTTTTCTAGTAATCCATTTTTTACCAACTTAAGTGTATGATTACGAATACACATCGTGGAGGAACTGTCCTGGGTTTCAATTATTTGTCAAGTAATATCGGTTAATGATAAAAAATCATTTCTTTGACATTTATCATCACTTGTCCTGCATTTCTTTCTATCATAAAATTACTTTTAAGATGCTTATCAATGCCGAATTCTGATTTATTCAAATGAAGATATAGTTTACATAATGAATAATCCTTTTATCAGCTGCACAGTTGAAATTCATTCCAGGTATATAGAAGTTAAACAAACAAATAAATAGATACAATAATACAACCAGTAAGATATTTAATTTTCTTTACTATAATTTCAACATAATGATGGTGTTTTATATATATAAGACAATATCCACAACCCTATATTGATAATTATCACGTGCTCAGTGATGACAGGCTTCAAGATGGATTTCCTGGAGTTCTAGTGAGAAGTCGTGACCAGTGGAGTTCAACCGTGTCTGTTGTGAAGCAGCTACTCACTGAAGATAATGGTGGACGGTCGTGTATTGTCGTTGATTGATTGAAGTTTGACATTAACACCGTTGGATACTGACTCAGTGGTTTAGAGGTTATGCGTTCACGAGTGAGACCGAAGGTCTTGGGTTCGAGTCCTACATGTGGAATCGTGGATGCGCACCGCGGAGGTGTCCCGTACTACGACGAAGCGGCCACCCAGTGCTTCCAGGTTTTCAATGGTGGTCTAACATTGATCCATTCATGATACCGGTCTAAACTCAACAATCTCCACAACCCTATACTGATATCTAAAACTATAATTTTTATTAATATACATTGAAATGGGATATAGATGGATACTTTCCAGAT